ACAGCCATACCGCATTGAAACACCGATTCTCATAAGATTACCAAAGTTAAGCAACGTAGAGCCTAGTCAGTACCTATCTAGGTGACCACTTTGAAATACCATTTACTGTAAGCTTAGATGTGTATATGGCGTAATTAATAAAGATTCGAAAATGGAAATTCGCAGAGTCGAGTTTCAATTCCAGCCGTGTTCTTTATATTCAATTACACGCAAATTCCGTTGCGTGATATATTGATCCACCTGTTCTCCCCCTAGCTAAGGGTTAATTAGCAGAATTTGTAGCTCTAAAATCATTATTTTGTTATGCTCGGCTGTAGGAGAAACTTTTTAAATCACAGAAAACAATTTCGCTGTCGAACAATATTCTGTCATAATTATATATATATATATATATATATATATATATATATATATATATATATATATATATATATATATATATATATATATATATATATATATATATATATATATATATATATTTTTTACACGTCACGTGATCTAATTATTTCAAGATGAGGTCGACTGTGCTTGCTCTCTGGCGACTCGTGTTCAAACCCAAGTGTCGGCAGCGACATTTTATTCCTATATGACACATTATTATCTAAAAAAAAAAACTTACAATTTAAAAACATATTTTGGCTTTAAATAACCGGCAAAAGGTTGATAAACCGTAAAAAATATCAAGCTATCATTCAAATGTTCTGCCAACCATTTATACAAGCTGATTAAGTAGCTAATGCGATGTTTTCCTCTGACCCGATTGCCATCAATATGCTTTGTGCTCGTTACATATTCTAAACCCTCTTTATGTAGTCTAGAAAATTCTACTCTTTCTGATTCTAAGCACACGTATTCTTTTTGTTTTCTTCTTTCCTTAAAACTTCGTCGTTTCTCATATGTTCAGTCTATAGCATTCCCAGCATCTTTCTGTAGCACATTTCACTTGCATCACGTCTCTTCTTCCTCTGTAATGAGATTTTTCAGCTCTCACTGCACAAAAAGGAGGATAGACATTACGTAAGAATTCAGTAATATTTTCTTTGTTTCTAAAAACATTTTCCTGCTCCTTAGGGAAATCTTAGAAGTGTATTTGATTCAAATCTAAATGGATTATATAAGCAATCATCTATAGCGTGGGATAATGGTTATTGAGCTACGCATTTATTTCTACTGCCTAATGTGTACGATCTTCACTAAATGTTTCAGATTTATCATCCGGAACTAAAATTAAACTTGTTATTTTTTTTATCATTTTTTTCTCAAGACTTGGAAGAAAGAATCCGTATAGGAGCCACTATGACGCAAGGGGTTACTGGGGGTGAAAAAGAATGTGAATAATGCGTGGGGAAAGAACAATAAATGAATTGGTGTCAGATATCGCTTATTGTTGTGGCTGGTAATTCATTTATGTGGATGGTTGGTTTCTGCAAATCTGCAAGAAAATGGTTCAATGGTAAACATGTTGAACTAGATACACATCATATCTACTTTAGAATGCAGCGCAATTAGTGCCCTTTTTATAACTAGTACGTTCATTTACCAATTCGGCCACGTTGATCGCTGGGTGGGGGGTTGCTTTAGCGGTATATTAATCTCTATGGATTATTTAATGCCGAAATCTAGACATGTAGATTTTGGTTGGTTAATATTGTTTAGCGGCATATCAACACCTCTATGGGTTATATAATTCCGAAATCTAAATATTTGGATTTTGGTAGGTTGATAATTTTTAGCGGCATATCAACACCTACATGGGTTATTTAATGCCGAAATCTAAATATTTGGATTTTAGTTGGTTGATATTGTTTAGCGGCATATCAGCACCTCTATGGGTCATTTAATGCCGAAATCTAAATACTTGGATTTTAGTTGGTTGATATTGTTTAGCGGCATATAAACACCTCTATGCATTATTTAATGCTGAAATCTAAATATTTGGATTTTGGTTGGTTGATATTGTTTAGCGGCATATCAACACCTCTATGGGTTATTTCATGGCGAAATCTAAATATTTATTTTCGTTGGTTATTTCATATGGGGCGAAATCTAAATATTTGGATTTTGGTTGGTTGATATTATTTAGCGGCATATCAACACCTCTATGGGTTATTTAATGGCGAAATCTAAATATTTGGATTTTGGTTGTTTGATATTGTTTAGCGGCATATCAACACCTCTATGGGTTATTTAATGGCGAAATCTAAATATTTGGATTTTGGTTGTTTGATATTGTTTAGCGGCATATCAACACCTCTATGGGTTATTTAATGGCGAAATCTAAATATTTGGATTTTGGTTGGTTGATATTGTTTAGCGGTTTCTGTTTGGGGCATATCGGCATATCAACACCTCTATGGGTTATTTAATGCCGAAATCTAAATATTTGGATTTTGGGTGGCTGATATTGTTTAGCGGCAAATCGACACCTCAATGGGTTATGTAATGCCGAAATCTAAATATTTAGATTTTGTTTCGTTGATATTGTTTAGCGGCATATCAACACCTCTATGGGTTATTTAATGCGGAAATCTTTTGATCACAATTTTATTGGCTTGAACTACAGATACAATATATTGTTGCTCATTTTACTATAAAACGTATTGGGGATAATTCTACTATGCATGTGTATTGTTGGCATTTTTTTAATATAATAATGTATTTTTTTATTTGCATAATGTTTTTTTTTTTTTTTACAGTATTCCCTATTTTCCCAACCTCCAGTCTCTCGATCAGAGTCCTTACTGCCGATTGTAGTTTATCGTCATACCGAGGATTACCGCTTTGATAAGGCAATGTTTGCATTACCTGTTTAATGCACATTTTTCCGAGTCTTTTAATCATTTCACCCCAAGGAAGGCCTAAATGCCACTAAGACATAAGGGAGTAGAATTGAATGGGACTAAAGAGTGGAGAAAGGACAGTAAATGAATAGGTGTCAGGAAGACAAAAGATTGTGATTAGTGTGGCATTTAAATTTTGAGGATTGTAATTAGAAAGGAAGCCTGAAAATGGAATGGAGTTCCACAGGCGAGAAGTGCGAGAAAGAAGCTACGAGAATAGAACATACGGATGCAGCTAGCGAGTTAAACTGTAAAACAAAGAGACCTAATTGCCAATCTAGTAGAAAACTTCATAAATTCATGCTGTCGATGATCCAAGCAGGAATGCTCATCATAAAAATTACCATGAAATTATTTGTAGAAAAGACAGAACGAAATCACGTCACATTCGTGAGGAATTGACTGAAGTCGAGATGCCAGGTCAGGACCCATAACATTGCAGATCTTTCTTTTAAATTTGTCAAGATTCTCCAGACGGGGAAGAAAGAAGCCGAAATAGAGTTCCACAAGCTAGAAGTGCGATAGAAGAAACTGTTAGCATAGAACATACGGTTACATCTAGTAATTTCAACTGTAAAATGATGGGACCTTACCGCCAATCTAGTACCATCCGGAACGTTATCAGAATTGATAGCCAACCCGAATCAATCTACTCATGGCGAATATAAAACATGAAATATTTTTAGGTATCTTCCCCCAAAATTAATTTCAACATCAGACATCCTCAGGGTTTTTATTTTAATTATTTCACCCCCAAGCAAGGCAATAAAGCCACTAAGACACAACTGATTACTGAGTGTTAGACAATAAGAGAAAGAAAAATACTATTAAGGAGATGAAACACTAAAAGAACAAGAATGAAGAAGACAGTAAATAACGATTTACATTCCATTTAAACTTTTGAGGAACACAGTTATCTGGAAGGCATGAACCCGAAAAAAATAATTCCACAAACGAGAAGAAAATATTAGCAAAGAACTTACGTTTACATCTATTTTTTTTCCTCTGTAAATGGATGAGACCTTACCGCCAATCTAGTACTGCTCTTAAATTCATAAAGTCTACGTACCATTAAGGAAATTTAGTTTAAATAATACAAAAATGTGACCCAAGGCCAAAAGGAAGGATGGAAGAAGGTTGGTCTTCAGCTTGTCTTATCTGAAACTTAGTTAGCTAGAATTACTAACCGAAACATACCACAGCATTCCTTACACCAAAACAACACATTCTTACTTGCCATTCTTACTACAGTCACCATAATACCTCGTAGTCTCTATTTAATGTTCATTATTTCCCATTTGTACAATATGCATGGGGAGGGGAATAAAATAACCTTTACACAAATAAAACTCCAATAAATACCATACAGGAAAGTAAGAATGAACAATGATCATGAAAGTATTTATAGAAAGAGGTGGAAAAGTGACTGACGATGAGATGCCAGGTCACGACCAGTAACATTGCAGATTCTTCTTTGGGTCTTATTAAGGATCTCTAAATATAAAGCACTAACATGTGGCAGTGATATTCAAAGCAAATGCGAATTATAGACTTATAAATATGTCAGATAGAATCTGGGGAGAAATATGTCAGATAGAATCTGGGGAGAAATATTGTCTAGCACGATACAAAAAACCAACTTTTCCAGCTGCAGACCTAGCAATTGATTCAATATAACCTTTCATTTCATGTCAGGGGAAAACGTTAGACTGAGAAGGCGCCGTGAGTCACTCTTCTGGAGGTTAGAATCAGCCAAGGTAATGGAACGTAAAATGGTACTCGCAGACGATTAAAAGAGAATATTTTCGTTTTGAAGACCTTAAAATTAAAGAAAATTCTTTGTCCCAGTTAACAACAGAATGCAGATCATATTTTAGATCAGTTGCGAATTATCGAACCGCTCAGACAGGTTAAAAATGATTAGAATTATAGTATGTTGTTTGGAGAAAATTCTGATGCTTAGGAAATCGATTCTAGAGGAACTTACAGAAATGAATATAAGTCATGGTTTACACATTTGTCTTCAAATGTCTCAGAAGATATATATATATATATATATATATATATATATATATAGATAGATAGATAGATAGATAGATAGATAGATAGATAGATAGATGGATATGAGCGGATTGATAGAAAGAGAGAGCTAGCTGGCTAGTTAGATTTTGAGCAGATTGCGATAGATAGATAGATAGATAGATAGATAGATAGATAGATAGATAGATATGAACAGACAAGGTAAATAGATACATACATAGATAAAGAGACTGAATAGATAGATAGATAGATAGATAGATATGAGAGGATTGGATACAGAGACCGAGCTAGCTAGCTAGATAGATTTTGAGCAGATCGAGCTAGCTAGCTAGCTAGCTAGATAGATAGATAGATAGAAAGGACGAAGATAAAGGACGAAGATAGATAGATAGATAGATAGATAGATAGATAGATAGATATGAAAAGGACGAAGATAGATAGATAGGTAAGGGATTACTATGCAGATAGATAGATAGATAGATAGATAGATAGATAGATAGATAGATAGATAGATAGATATGAAAAGGACGAAGATAGATAGATAGATAGATAGATAGATAGATAGATAGATAGATAGATAGATACTATGTGCAGATAGATAGATAGTTAGATAGATAGATATGAGCGGATTGATACAGAGACCGAGCTAGCTAGCTAGATAGATTTTGAGCAGATCGAGATAGATAGATAGATAGATAGATAGATAGATAGATAGATATGAAAAGGACGAAGATAGATAGATAGATAGATAGATAGATAGATAGATAGATAGATAGATAGATAGATATGAAAAGGACGAATATAGATAGATAGATAGATGATTACTATGTGCAGATAGATAGATAGATAGATAGATAGATGAGGTCTAAACATTTTAACGTAAACCGAATCTACAGAAAGAAATGTTTCGTTGAACACTATTTTTTTTAATGCACATCACTCAGTTAATTGCCATACGTAATCCCCTCTTGAGCAATCATCTTTCGATACATGAGTGATGGGGCAAATTTCTTCCAGCAGTAGGTTGCCGTTTCTTTCGGCGCTAGACTGGTTGCCAACCACGGCTGAAGAACGCAGTCCTGCTATTTAACCCATAACTAGGGGGAGAAGATATGGATTCATATCTTTCCTAAGGGAATTTTATTCAGTGGCATATCCACATTTAATTAATTTCACCTTTTTCCTTGTGACAGGTACAGATTGGGATTTTCAGTCAGTTAAGTGCCATATGTGATCCACGCTTGGACAATCATCTATCTTTCGATACATGACTGACGAGGCAGTAGGTTGCCATTTCTTTCTAAGGTAGACCAGTTGCCATCAAAGGCTAAAGATCCCAGTCTGTCCTGATATTTAACCTATAGCTGCGGGGAGGTAGAGAAGAGACGGATTCATACCTTTTCCAAGGCTATTTGTGCGTAAGTGAATCTAAATGGAATTCGAATTCGGCTCTTCGAGTTCTCACTTTGAGCCGATATCCATTACATCACAATGCAGATAATGTTTTTTGATTAATGCTTTTTTTTAATGTCCTTGAGCCATGCTGCAAAGATAAACTGACTTCCTTCAATGACGCGCAGAAAAAAAATCTGGTCGAGTAATTCAGCGAAGGAATTTTATTCGCGACAACTATTTTTTTAAACAGTCTTGGAGATGGGATCGAAATTTGTGCCATATGTTTCAATCTTTGAACTGTACCAATCCTGGTTAGATTTTCACCAAGTTCAAGATGTCGACCGATTCTTCGAACCAAAATCCGTTTCACCCCTTTTTTAGACGAAAAAAACTAATTTCTTGAAGATATAGTGAAATGTCATCGAAAGTGAAAAACATAATTTGCTGAGTGAATAGCAATGTATCTGAATAAAATATTTGCCAAAAATACCGGAAACATTTATATGAATATAATGAAAAAGAAGACGAAAGGCGAGGCATATTTCCGATGGATCAATGTCAAAGATCCAAGCCAATATGATCCCTGTTGTAGCTTATTCAGTGTTGCTGTCATCCAGTAAATGCGACTGAAAGGTGGATATGGGAAGAATGGAAAACGCCAGTCGCTTCTTCTTTATTGCAACATTGGGAGAATTATTTCACGTTCACAAGGAACTTAAAAAGATCGAATTGGCAATCGATACTCTGACATCTTTGAAAATTGGAAGCATTATTTCCCGTTCGAGTAGGGTTTTTTCGACACATAGAAGACATGAACAGTTTAGAGTCATGGTCAATGTAGGAAAAATGAAAATAGATAGATAGATAGATAGATAGATAGATAGATAGATAGATAGATAGATAGATAGATAGATTGGTGGCAGATAAATGGCTAGTTCGGTATATAAGAATAGACTGATATTTTCTCTCTCCCCTTTTTTCTCTCTTCTCTCTATATATATATATATATATATATATATATATATATATAGAGAGAGAGAGAGAGAGAGAGATAGATAGATAGATAGATAGATAGATAGATATGAACAGACCATAGACATAGATAGATAGATAGATAGATAGATAGATAGATAGATAGGTGGCAGATAAAGGACTGGTAGGTATATAAGAATAGACTGATATTTCTCTCTCTCTCTCTCTCTCCTCTTTCTCTCTCTCTCTATATATATATAGAGAGAGAGATAGAGATAGATAGATATATAGATATGAATAGACCGAGATAGATAGATAGATAGATAGATAGATATGAACAGACCAGGATAGATAGATAGATAGATAGATAGATAGATAGATAGATAGATAGATAGATAGATAGATAGTATGGCATATTAGGTAGGTAGTTATATAAGAATAGACATATTTTCTCCTCTCTCTCATTCTCATTCTCTCTCTCTCTCTCTCTCTCTCTCTATATATATATATATATATATATATATATATATATATATATATATATATATATATTTCATTTCATTTTGTAGTTTACTGCTACCAGCAAGCAGAAATATTTCTCCTCCCGATGATGGCCATTTCGGCCGAAACTAGTCGAGGAATCTAAATGAAATAATAATAAAAAAACGAAAGAATATTAATCGGTGTGTCTGAAGATTTTAATTTTTTAATATTTTTTTTTATTGTTCAATATATATATATATATATATATAGACAGAGAGGGAATGAAATAGACAGATATAAACAGGTCGAGATAGATAAATATTAATAGACTGAGATCGATGAATAGATAGAAATGAACAGACATAGACAGATATATAGATATGATAGATAGATATGAAAAGGACGAAGATAGATAGATAAGGGATTACTATGTGCAGATAGATAGATAGATAGATAGATAGATAGATAGATAGATATGAGGAGACTAAGATAGATAGATAGATAGATAGATAGATAGTTAAACAGGTGTGATTGATATATATTTGGAGGAACGGATGAAATATATAATGATTGGGACACTGATAAATAACTGTATCCAGGAAAAACATTTTATAAAAAGAAAACAGGGAAATGAAACGACGCCGTGTTAAAATCTGAGCGAGAATTTAAAAGACCGAGACGGAAGCGGAAAGAGAAACAAATATAGGACTCCCCCCCGCCTCTTCAGAACTCGATCATAGTTTTTTGGGCACAATCGACAAAGATGAAAAATGGAAAAATCAATGCTAATTATCAGTAATATACAGGGGTTCCCCGAGTTACGTCAGTGTTCTTTTCCTACGATGAGCCTTAACGTGATTTTCGGCGTAAGTCGGAATATACTCACAATTTTCCGTGAATAAGCCTACACGTCACTCACCTATGCTAACGCAAAAATAAAGTAATAATCTATGACGCAACAACCCATATTTATGACATATGTTAACATAATTAAGACAAAAAACATACAGAGGACATAAGTATCCTATACCAGAGACGGATATGCAACGTAATTGTCCCTGATCTGGCATCTCGTCTGCAGTCGCTCTCTCACAGACGTGCCGTCGCCTCCCTCTGTCTTTTTTACAAATACTTTCATGGTAATTGCTCCGATGAGCTGCATTCGCTGGTTTCCAGACTTCATGAATTCAAGCGTTCAACTAGGCTGGCATATTGTTCTTGCACTTTCACTGTCGAAACTGTTAAATGTAGCCGTCTCTTCCACTCCAATAACTTCATGTCTCAAACTTTTAGCCTGTTGAACTCCCTTCCCTTTTCCTGTTTCCCTGATAGCTATAATCTCCAACTATTCAAATGTAATGTCAATCGACGTCTCCAGATGCCTTGATCTATCCCCTATCCTTCTCTTCATCCTTTCCTCTATCATTATTATCTGCTCTCGCTCCAAATCTCTGTAACCCCTTGCGTCCTAGTGGCTTCACGCCTTGCTTGGGGTGAAACGCCTTGCTTGGGGTGATGTCATGACGTAGATAGGGTAGATCTTGTCTGAGCGGATCTACAGAGACCGAGCTAGCTAACCTAAGGAAGAAAGAACTCTTGATTGGTCCTTTTATCCCTTTTTTTTTCAGGAGTTTGAGAGTCCCTAAGTCTTTGCCCAAAGACAGAGCATTGAAGATCTGGATAAGAAAACTGAAATTATTATAGATTTTCATTTTGTACTCTATCTTTCTGTCCTCGCTCCATTCCTGGCTCTTTTGATTGTCAATTTTCCTAGTTGTCGGAGATTTTGAGAGGCGGTACGGCTGCCTTATTCGATGTCGCAACAATAAACTACAGAACTCAAAAGTGTATGATCTTGTCTCATTTGCTCTGTTCGGAAACAGCAGCAAATCTGAGGAAGAAAGAACTGAGTTTATGTTTCTTTTTATCCCTTTTTTTTTCTGTCTCTTGACGGAGTTGCTCCTGAGTGCACTCTGCCCAAAGACAGAGACGCAACAGAGAGATGATAAGAAAACATGAAATTATTCCAAAAGAGTAATTTAAAAACTCTATTTACTCTGTCCTCCGACTAGGACGAGATGTGACACAAGGTCTATTTTTAGGCGAGGAAACGAGCTCGTACGCCCGGTACGGAGAGAAAAATTCCCCTCAGTCGCCGCAACCGTCAGTTGAGCTGGCCTCGGTACGAGCACCGATCCCTCCCTCTGGTGCAATGGGAGGGTGCGGCCTCGGGCAGCTGTTCCCCAGGGCTGGACACCTCTTCAGTA